GTTTTTTTTTTGTCACGAACACACTTCATACATTGACTATCCAAATACAATTGTATCCGGGAACCAAAGCGGAACCGAAGTGTTAACATTAGAAAAAATTAAATTACGTTGACGAGCGGCCTTACCAAGTAAGTCCGCTTTCGCATTCTGGTACCTGGAGCAATACGTGAGCGTAAAATCCGGGAAATAAGAGCGTAGTTCCGTCAACTCATCTAATTCCGTTTTGAAACGGGGCAATTTGTCGGGATCATAACATATATAACATAAATATTAAATAAACTCATATTTTATTGTGATATCTTGTTATATATTATAACAAAACTAGAATGCCACTGAGCCCCTATGGCTTAGTTCATATTACATTAAAAAAACGGTTACTTAAACATTGGATAAGTTTTCGGAAAAAGAAAACCACATTATCTTTTATTCCATCGTAGTACCAATACCGGCGGTTCACTCATTTTTCTTGTAAAATATATCCCATCTTCTTTTGCTATCCATACACGTAGCTGACCACATGCAGGAATAAATCCTTGTCCTGCTTTGTATACTTCAACGTCATAATAATACTCCATTTTAGACCCTTTCCTAAAAAAACATCCCCATCTTGTTAAACTGATTACATTATCATGGAATTCAATGATGTACGGCGTTGCATTGAAGCTTAATAGTTTAATGCCGAGATCGTCGTCAGTAGAACGACAATGAAATTCGAGAATTTGACGTGGACCGAGTTGGTTTTGAATTACTACACGGTTTTTTACACAAGTTTCATTTAACTCAAAAGATATAGCAATGACCAACATAAAAAGTACAAGATAATTCATTTTTTTAATATACAAGATCATTGATGAAATAATAAATACATCTATTTGTAGTATTTATATATGTTTTCTGGTGTGAAAGCCAATTTTCTTATAGTTAGTAAATAATATTTTTATGGGTTAATGAGATTTTTGGTTGAATGTTTGACCAATATAGTCAAATCAAATAAAGTTACCAAATAAAATTACCTAAAGAAGATCTCTCGTTAAATGGTTGACTAATATAGTCAAATCAAATAAAGTTACCATAAAAATTGTAATTGACCATGGAATCCATAACAAACAAAACGAAACCTTTAAGATATAATTAGGTTAGACCTCTCTACG